CGAGTTGGTGTGTAATTTCCCAGTGGCTCAATTTAAGATAATGGTATATTGTAAGAAGCAGAAAGAAACATAACCTTTTTGCCTCAGCAGCGTTCAAACATTCAGTTAGGCATGATATATGGGCTGAAAACATTGACAATATCAGAATTTTCAAAAGTGGTGGAGAGAAAATAAACAGTGGGGACATGAGAGAGGGTGAAGGAGCACACACAAATATCAATAAACACTCCTCTTCCGTCTCGGAAGCTTCCTGCTTTATTTGATTAGGCCGAAGATGGAGGGAGGGTTGGGGGAGAAAAAACAGCAGTCATGCTCTTTTGCTTTTCTTCCTCCTTTCCCTTCCTTCACAATCTCTAGCCTCTCCTTAATGGGAATGGGAAGTTTGGGAAGTGGAGGAGAGGGGTGGGCTGCAGCTAGCCTCAGCCTAACCTCCCCCATCTGGACCGGAGGGGAGGGGGCAACTTGCCAGCCTCTAGGCTACTCCCCAACCCTTCCCAGCTGTTGGCTGTTCAGGGGCAGAGCCCAACCCCCTCCCCACCCACCACCCCCAAGTGTGTGTTTTTGGTGGGCTTGAGAAAGCATTTTTTCATAAACAATTGCCATATCCTCCACCAGCTGTTGACCCCATGGCTCCTGTCCCTGAGCAGAGCTTGGGAAGCAGGCAGAGTGGAATGGTTTTCATTTAGGAGACTCTGCTTTGCAGGGGAGACTTGCTAAAGGGTGCTTGGCCCCAGTACTGTTAGCACGCTAGCTATAATACACAGCCTAGATAGGTCATTGGTTGGGGGCACGAGATGTTAGCTGATAGTAGCCACAGTGACAGCACCTTGTGTTTTGAGGATCTAGCTGGGGGCTCAAGGTGCTTAGACTCAAGTGGCTTCAATATCTGTTTGGCAGAAACGATCTTACTAGAACTGATGCTAAAACTGATCCTTTTACTGTTGCATTCTTTAGCTTTTTGGTAACCTGGGGACAAAAACAAGCTGAAATTGAAATATTACAAATGTCCAGGAGTTTTTCTGTGACGCTGAGCAATGATTGCACTTTCTTTGCATGAAATCAGTAATTTTGTAATTATTTTTTTGCTCTTCTGAGCTGCAGCAGCTTGAACGAGGATTCAAACTCTACACCACTGGTGTCAAACATAAGGCGCTCAGACCGGAAGGGGTACACTAAACAGTCCAGTCTGTAGAAAATATTATTTACCTGTAGTCTGGCTGTGTAGTTATAGCTCTTTCACAACAGTGTCTATTAAATTCTGTATTGGGAAAAAAAGGACATAAACCACATGCGTTCCTGAAACATTGGCTCAGTGTGGCCCAGAAGTCCCTCAAACTTTCACTTTAAAGATTTACCTGAAGATGCTGGTCGTCAATAATAATAATAATAATAATAATAACAATGGATTGGATTTATATAGCGCTTTTCAAGGCACCCAAAGCGCTTTACAATGCCACTATTCATTCACTCTCACATTCATACACTGGTGGAGGTAAGCTACGGTTGTAGCCACAGCTGCCCTGGGGCAGACTGACAGAAGCGAGGCTGCCATATCGCGCCATCGGCCCCTCTGGCCGACACCAGTAGGCAAGTAGGGTAAAGTGTCTTGCCCAAGGACACAACGACCAGGACAGAGAGCCCGGGGATCGAACCGGCGACCTTCTGGTTACAGATACGCTTCCCAACCCCCTGAGCCACGGTCGCCCCCAATAGGCTAGAACAGCAATCCCGGGGGTTTGCTACCGGGCCTCGAGAGACCATAATTTTTTTTTTAATAATTGCGTGGAATGAGTCTTGCGTTGAATGTTTTTAACAGGCAAAAAATACTTCAATAAGTAAATGTTACATTTTTTTCCCTGATCCGAAAATTGATCCGATCTGTGACTTAAAACCGTGATCCGATCCGAACCGTGAGATTTTTGGTCCGTTGCACCACTAGTTTTCAATAATAAAAAGGTGAACTGAACTGACATCTTTCTAAAGGTTAATGATTGCCTGACCAGAAAACAAAAATTCCTGCTGCCTGAAGGGGATCGACTCTATGTAGCAACTAACATAGCATACTATAAGAAAACCAAGTTCAGCTTTAGATATATGCTCATGCATCTACACTGGGAGTGCTCCCAGGAAACAACAACAAAAGAGGAAAAAAACCAAGCAAACAAAAACGCTGCACAGTGCAGAGTGCCAAACGGGAAACAACAAAATACGCCATCGCCGACAAACATCTACCACCTCCTACTGCCGTGTCCTAAAAGAGCCGTCCCATTGAACGCGTTGATGAAAAATGGATTGCATGCTTGCCAGTCAAGGTGAGTACAGGTGCCAATGCACTATGTATAAAATCAGATGGCATGTTTGTGCTGATGCAGTATGTATGAGGCGGCTGGGCCTCATGCAACATTCAGCACGCTGGGGAGGCCGTAGGTGAGGCCAGCACAGCCTGCAGCCAAAGACGTCCGCACCTCCGAGTGCGTATGTGTGAGCTCAAACTGAGCTTTGTCACAGCTGGCTGGTGGATCCACACATTTAGAAACACAACTGGGATGAGACTCACGCAACTGCAAACACGCCTCAGCTCAGAGGGCCTGCATTACACAAAAAAGCTATTTTTCTACTTGTTTCATAAAACACATGCAAACGCACACAGGAACACACCCAGACAACATGCACACTTTGGCCTGGCAGACAGTCTTTGCTCGGGCATCGCATTTGAACTTTCACCTCAAGTGTCGAACACACACACACACACACACACACACACACACACACACACACACACGATCGCTTTCTTTGTACTGGTCTGCCTTGGAATTGCATGGTAATACTTCATTATGGCAGCACTGTAATTTAGGGGGAATGAGCACTTCAAACGAACGGCAACCCACACACAAGCACACAGACAGGGTTACTGTAAATGTGTGTAACCTAGAGTTCTGCTGGGACCAGAATCAGGGTTTTTTCCACAACATTCCCAGAACACTCCAAAATACACCCGGACAGTAATCAGAGGCACGCTGTGAGGTTATAATTGTTGGAGCTGATTACAAAGTGGAGAGTAATGATTCAAATTGGGAGAGGAGTGCAACACAGACTTGTACATAGCAAAATGTGAACTCGGGGACACAGGGTGTCAGCAGGGTTCACATTATTAAGCCTGCCTATAGTAAAGTTACGCTGGAATAAATTACGCTTGGTGGCTCTTTGAACTTTGCAAAGATGGACCTTCTTCCTTGCCCGCAAATCACTTGACTGTGGTGTGACGTTCTTCTGTGAGATTCACATGAAAAGTTTAGCTTTCAGCTTGTTAAGACAAATAAACCAAATGCTGTTCAGGCAGGTGGCTGTATGTACATCCAAGTATTTAAGAAGGTGACACAGTTTGGTTACTTTTGTCTTTACGTGTGGTTACATTCGATTTTGTAAGTGAATCGTTCAAGGTGTGATTGATAAGCACAGGTAACAAAATTATCACATTACTTTTAAATAGTCTCTGCTGTTGGCATACAAGCAGTGCGTCTGTTTCTTCGATGACATGTTGACATATTTAATGACATATTGAGGAGACAAAAGGTCTGGAGTTGATTCCAAATGCAGAACTTATTAGTGAGCGCTGAAATTTTAGGAGAGACAGAAATCAACAATTAAGTGGAATCTTACAAAGAAAGGAACGTGCTGTTGAGCTCGACGACACAAAAATGACAACTGAAGAAAGCTAAAGTGAATTCTTTCCTTGGTAAAGAAAAATCCCCTCACAGGATCGAGCCATTTCACGAATACTCACGCAGGCTTGTTGTGGTCAAACTCTACAATCAAGCAATGCCTTCATACGTGTAAATACAGAGCGTTTATGCCAAGGGTTTACATGCAAACCACTGGTAACAATCAAGAAGAGAAGGGCCAGATTACAATACCGAAAAAATCTAGAAAAAGAAGGACTTAACATAATCAATCAAACATGGTGGAGATGTATGGCTGCCAGTGGAACCAGTACACTAGCAATTGTCCCAAGCGGATAGGATGTCACATTGCAGTAATGATAAATACTCCCCCAAAATATAGGGGTAAATGCAAATCTGGAGCTTCTCAAGGCACAGAAAGGAGTCACTTAAGAGACCACAGTCCTAATTAGCATGCTTACTTTTCCCAATACAAATCTGAGGGCAGAGGACCCACAAACAAGCAGTAACTGAACGTGGCTCCATTAAAGCCCTGGCAAAGCATCTTTAGGCAGGATACTTTGGTTATGTCACTCTCTCTGGATTCCACATAGTTGGCGAGAAAAACTTGCAGACTACTTAATACTTTTGGACTTATGAAAGCGCATATCACACATAAGCGTGCATGCATTTACAATTCTGCATGATAGTGTATGGATAAAAGAAATGTTCTACTTGGTTATTAAGGAAATGTTGTGTCTATTTATTCATTTGGTTTAAGCAAAGATCCCCTTCATCCCCTTAATGTGCTTCTTATTTATGTTTATGTCTTGATGCAACTGTTCTTGTGATTTGGTGCAATATCAATAAGAAACCTCAGCCAGAAACAAGATCAAGGTGGGGCGGGGTCTGCCATGACCGGCTGAGGGGCGAGGAGAAAGAGGGAAAAGGAGAGTATAGGCACACACTATAGGAGAGAAGTGGTTTATAAAGGCATGTGGAGTGAAAGAGGTGAGAGAGAAGAAATACTCAGTGCATCACAGTGTATCACAAGCCTGACGGTTCAGGTTCACCTGCTCCAGCCCTAACTATCATCTTAATCACAAAGGATACGTAGAGAGGGCGTCTATGGCACTACAAGAACTTGTACAGAAGAATTTTAATTTGCAAATGAGGAGAAGCTAAAATGGGAGAAATATGATCTCTCTTTCTAGTTCTTGTCAGAACTTTCACCAGGTATCTGTACCTATGAATAACACATAACACACATGCACATAGACAGGACTTCAATTCACACTGTCTCAAACATGCTGCACAAGAGGTCTACGTAATGACAGGCTGTCCTCACAAATTCACTGTAATGTTCAAATGAGCTGGAATTGAGAATAAATGATGCAGTATGGGCATCTGTGTGAGACCGTGCACATCTCTAAAAACTCCCAGCCTAAAGCAAAACATGTACAAGTTTAATGATAATGCAATATGGAAACATTTACTGAAAATCACATGGATTACATAATGGATATTTACATGTGAAATAAGATTGGATACTTTGAATACACAAAAATACAACTTTAGGGACTCGTTATTACAGACAAGATAAATTTATTGGTTACTGAAACCAGCCGTCAACACATAATACTGAGGTGGTCCAGGATACAGTAATCCTGTTTGACACACGTGCACCACAACAACTGAAGGGTTAAACTGAAAGGTGAGAATCTTTCATCTCTCTCAGTTCAGAAAGAAAAGCTCTTCTTTTAGCTGGGCCAACACTGTAAGGCAATACCTGGTATCACAGCAGTGAAAGCAGTCTGGGTGAAAACTATCGAAACACTTTACATGGACACCATTAAATACATAAATAAAAACTAGTGAAGTGTTTTGGCTCCAGGTCACAACAGGCACTGTTATGATGCAGGAGCTCGACACCTGATGACAGGCTACGGCGGGAGCTTTTTTCCTGCTGGTTTGTTGAGAGTACAGCGACGTTCATAGTAGCGCACGGCAGAATTCTTATTACTCACCAAAGCAAATGTTCAGAAAAATGTCATCATGAGCTGCCAATGCAGACTATTTCCATTATCATCACCTAATAGGGAAGCACTCCTACAAGGTCATTTCTATAAAAAATTGTAATATCTGCTTATGCCAGACTGTATGGGCAGGAAACTCTGGATGAGTCTCATATTGTCGATTACTCTGCAGACACGAGTGCACTTGTGCACTTCCTCTCTCATTCTGTGACCCTTCTTTCCATCTCGTCCTAAGATGGACGTATAATATGTGCTTTATTCTCTGCCTAAAGGGCAAATGCTGTAGAGTGTGCGCTGAATATGTTTGTGCGAGTTCCTGTGCAGAAAAATTGAATCACAATAGATGCAGCTGAGCCCAATGTCCTGTGGTTCAGTCCCCAGTGAAAGCTGTGAGGACTGTGTAACTGCTCCACATGAGGCAGCTGATATTCGGAAACAGAATGAATGTATTTCATGTATATTTAATAGAACCTAAGAAATAATGTACTTGTTGGTGTTAAGTGTGTAACATGTACTCTAAAAAAGCTCAATTATTTTAGGCCATATCATATTTTTCCCATTGTTAAAGCAAATGACCTCTCCATCACCTTTCTCGGGAGTTACACAAATTATAATATAATATAGAGATTTAGTAGCTACTTTATTAACTTTTCCTGCTTGTTAATGGTAACAAGAAGCTCTTTCAAAAAGTATATTAGGAGGCTGCAACTCAATTTATGCAGACTGGGTCAACAGGTTAAGCTACAGTTGGACCAAATGCTTGAATGGGCAAGAATCCTGCTCTGCTGTATGTTACACTCCATACATTTGGAGAAACTAGCTTCAATTTTAACTTTAGGACTCATTTCTTTAATAGTAAATGTTTAATTTGGGTGTGACATCTTTGTGATTTCTGACTCTGTGGAAGATTTTGTTTTTATGTCCACAACAGCAATGCCTTGTTTCAATTAATTATAGCACAAAGCCGGGTTCTCCCATACTCCTGTTTACAACAGAGTCTGTTGGGCAGCTCCAAACATCACCACCTAACATGCCCATTCATTTTTAAAATGTTGACCTGTACAGTTATAGGCTATAAATGGATGAGCGTCCCTTCTGAGTGGCTGAAGGAAAAAAGGAATTTTTCTGGAAGATGACCAACGAACTTTATTTGCCAACCTGACCTCAGACCCCTACAAGCAGCATGGTTAAAGTTGTGACTGGTGCACCATTGACACAACCCTTCTATTACAGGTTCCCGGCTGAAGCACCTGATGGATAGGAACAAAAGGAAAAATATAAATATGGCCTTGGTAAATTACTGTATTAAGTGGTATAAAGACTTTTTACAGGTACTAAGACAGTTTTTCTAATACATCTAATGATTTTATTTAAGCGACTTGGGTTCAGGATGGCTACTATCTATAAGGCCATAACAGAACAAAAACAAATGGTCACACAAACAGAAAGGCAGAAAAGTAGAAAGCTGTCCATCTTCCTTTCTTCCTCCTCCTCCTCCTCCAACTCCTCCTTCCGCCTGTCCTCTTCTCTCATACACCAATGATAAAACAATGGTTGGGTAGTGAAGAGAGGGGGAAAGGTGGAAGGATGGATGGATGGATGGATGGACAATGAAAATGATGCATGCTTGTGAGGAACAAAAGCAAAGCAAATCAATTGAACTGAGGTGACTGGCAGAGCGAGGACTTCTGTTTTTTAGGAATAACCTGCAGGAGACAAACAGGAAATAAAAACAAAAAAAGTTTGCCTTTAAATCTTTGCTGGTGAAATAGATGTCAAATTTTGATAGCATACTCGTTTTTCCTCAGGATGCATATCGAGGGTTGGAGGGTGGATGAGTGAGTAAAGCATGTAGTTAGTTTGAGTACATATAACCCCAAAGACCCCCGTTTGTCCTCAGCAGCTTCTCTTGTAGCCTAAAATGTTCGATGAGACGGAAACATTGTTGCAACTTTTCACCATTTGCACAGTTTATGACGGAGCTGGAGGAGTGCTGCACGGGATTGTTTTTTTAAATTCCAATTGTATAAATCTTAAAGGCCAAATTAAACTTGACTTTCTGCAGCATTATCAGCAAGCTCAGAGTAAAATGTAATTTGAACTGTGACCAACCAGAACAACAAAATGAAGATGAGATGTTTGTGTTCATATTAAACACACCGACCTGCCCAGCACAGAAAGGTTCGAGTGGACATCTGTTTGAGGGTCAAACACATTCTTTAGAGCAAATGAAACTGGTTCCCAGTTTAAAAAACAATCAAGTCTACCTTTAAAGAGCCCTTTGGCTTTTCTATGACAGCTTTTGGGGTTAGTAGTAAAGAATTTTTGGCTATGATACAGGTTGCCACTAGCATGGTTAAACCACTCTCGAGCAACGATATTGCCCACTTACTGATGCCGACCTTGGAACGGACTACATGCAACTAAACCGAGGTAAACTGTAATCAGCAAGGTGAGTAAAAAGATTAGTAATCACGGAGGAGTTTTGGCAGAGCTGCAGGCAACTGGAATGCAGCAGTGCTGACTGGGAAAACACAACCCCCTCATTTAGCCTGATGGAACTGTAAAGTAGCTAACACACGCAGGGGCAATTGTGGCTGTTTGTGTGTCACTATGTGTGCTTCATTAGCGTGCACCTTGGCGTTGTGTATTTCTTGTGCGTGAGTGTAATGGGTACCGTGTGCTTGCTGAGGTCTTGTTTGCCCATCTTAAGTCAATTAAAAGGAAATAAGGCGGCTCTGACCGGCCCGTGAACCAGCTCCCTCAGCTGAGAGCATGTCTGCACAAAAAATACACACACACACACACACACACACACACACACACACACACACACACACACACACACACACACAGGCTAACACAGGGAGGCTGATAATGCTCCACTACTGGCAATCGACCCTGTGCCCTGCTGTGTGAGAAACAATGGCTCTGAGACTGGGTGAGCACGTATATGTGCACACACGTGTGTGTTTGTGAGCGCCTGTGTGCGTGGCTGCTTGTGTGTGCAAGTTTGCGTTAAGTACGGCATGTCTGACAAGGCTTCAGAGGGAAACAGTTTAAGACAATATTAGACACAAACGCTGAACACACATGCACACATTCCTGCTCTTTCAACAGAGAGCCAAAGAACACAATTGCATCCTACAGGTAGGATCGGCAGCACAAAACACGCAGACACACTGCGCCTTGTTAATCGAAAGCTTTGGCTTGTATTGTCATTAAGCTGAAACGAATTACTGAAAAAACACTGGTCTAAAACTACATCCTACAGTTGTGGTTAGAAGTTTACATACACCCATCATGGGCATGAATGTCACGGTAATTGTGGGCTTTTAATGATTTCTTTGAACTCTTCTTTTTCCAGGGTGGAATGATTATACAGCATACATCTTTAATGACTTCATAAAACAAGGATTACATTTATTTTTTAAATTTCACTAAACTACACAGGGTCCCAAGTAACCTACTAACAGATAAAGGCTCCAACAAACAGCACAGCTATAATAAGCAGAGCGCTCACTGACAGACTGCAGCGATCACAGGCTGCATTGTAAAAATGACCTCACAGGTGTAAAAGCAGAAAAATTTGAGTTTGTCATGCTGTCTACATCTGCCTGCAACCTCTCTCCCATCCACCTGTCCCACTGCTCCGCCTCAGTCCTCAGCTCTGCTTTTGCTCTGATTGGTTCTCCACACTCTGAACTCTGATCAGCTTCACTTCCCCTGCTGCTCTGCACAGCCAGCAACCCTCCGCTTCTCCACGTGTCCGTGATCCGCTCTGTCACAGCTCAATATTCCACCTGCGCTCCATTCAGCCGCCAATGATTATTCATCTTTTATCTAACTAGTCTGTTTATCAGTAATGGCTAATATTGCTAATAGTTCTCACAGCAAGAAGGTCCTGAGTTCAATTCCACCACCAGGCCGGGGTCTTTCTGTGTGGAGTTTGCATGTTCTTCCTGTTTGTGTGGGTTCTCTCCACGTACTCTGGCTTCCTCCCACGGTTTAGGTTTGGAAAAAACATTTTTTTATGTTGATTCCTATTAGGTGTACCCAGGGTTCCTTTGTGCAGCGTAGTTTGTCACCGTGTTTAGTAGTTATGCGTCGGGTTGGTTCCTGTGTGAGTTTTACTTCCCTCCATGGTGATGTAGATCGTCTACACCTGTGTCTCATTCCCTCAGCTGTTTCCACTTCACCGATTACCCCATGTGTAAAAATAGCACCGTCTTTCTTTCAGTCTTTCTCGTAGCAACTTTGTGTGATTCTCTCGGTGTACTCCTGTGGCTAGTGGGATGTTTTTCTGTTGTATTTTGGGTTTTCAGCCTAAATAAAAACTGCTATTTATACCACAAGAGCAGTCACCTCAAGGCACTTTACAGGTAAAGACCCTACAATAAGACAGAGAAATCCAATGACCTCAAAGGAAACACTGGGAAGGAAAAACTACTTTTTAACAGGAAGAAATCTGCAGCAGAACCAGGCTCAGGGGAGGAAGTTTATATTTGTTTAATCTGTACATTGAAGGACATATCCTCGTCTGAGTTTCAGCACTATGAAGACACTTCTTACTAGGGTATATTGCCATGGTAACTTGGCTGTAAACAGTTTTGTAGTGTTATAATCCAAAAACAGGGCAACTAATTTGTGCCTGCTGACTCGATATCAAATTGAACAGTAGACAAAACCTACATTTGTATCTTTATTCTTATTCTGTATTTATACATGCTCTCAAAGCATTAAATACCAGCTGAAAGAATAACAGAGCCGGACCTGATTACTACCAGATCATCTCTTATGTTAACTTTACATCACAACAAATATCAGTAATAATATCGGAATTTAGCACTAAATTCCCACATGGTTTAACCGAGGAGCTCAGGGTATTTGGATCGGAGGTACTTCATAATCTGATGACTGTGTGCCAACATACTCAGCACCTCATGGGACAGAGACACTGAATGTGTAGAGCTAAACTCATTTACTAATTCAGGATTTCTGTTACTACGTGCGAACCAACTGCAATGAACCCTGTTTACTAGGACAAACTTCACCGAATCAACAGTCACAAATCTGACTGATTCACAGGGTGAGGAAAGCAAGACCAAGCATCAGAATTACAAACTAACAACAGTGTTTATGAAAAGTAAAAGCAGTTATTTATGAAATAATCATATATGGTATATTTTTAAGATACTGAGGATTGACCTGAAAGTGTACGTATGTGGCTGCTCACTGTAAACTTCAGTTTTATTCAGTAATGCTCTGAGATTAAAAGTCTGTTGTTGTGATTTTTCTTTCTGCGTTTGATTTTTATGTTCAGTTTTGTCTCTCAAATTGGGAACACCTCAAAGTGACTGTTCAACTGGGAAACACAACAACACATTTCTACAAAACAACACAAAACACAACAAAAAATGTACCTAACTTTTTTATTTTCTTGTAAAATATCTTTTAAAGTTATTGTGTTAAAGATGTTTGTCAATTCTAGAAAAAGAGTGCTTTAAAAGGATTGGGGAACATTGTTTATTTGGTAGATCATTTGGACTCAAAAGCATCAGTTTTACACTCTCTCTCTCTATGACATTAAACGTTTGACCAAATGAAACAATGAAATGTTTTTGAACAGGAGCTTCTAAAGGTAATTGGGTTGCCTCTCCTTTCCCCCCTCAGCCACTGAGGTAAAAGCTTCTTCTTCTGTCTGAGGATTTATCAGGCTCAGACCACTTGCTGCCACCAGCCTATAAAGAACTTGATGGTAGAGGCACCATGACACAGGATATCTGTCAAACCGGGGCTGCTTTTTCAGCTCTTTGTCCACTCGTAACCTTCCTGGGATCCTAATTAAAGGAAAGGTCAAGTCAACTTGTTCAGTGATCACACTCTCTGCGGTCCCACTGTGAGCAGCATGATAAGTACCGGTACTAATGCACTGCTTCTATCCCATGACAATCCCAGAGTTGTTCTTGCAGAAGTGAGGGACCACTTAATCCTCCATGCCCAAACAGCTCGTAATAAATAGTCTACATTTAATCCAAAATACTGAGGAGCAAGGGTTAAGTCTTTATCGCCTGCAATGCCAATGTTCTCCTTTTTACTTGCACTCACATTCTATCCCTTTGTAAGCACTGTTGTAATACGGTCATTGTAAAATCAATGGATTAAAATCTGCACCAGCAGTAAGAGGAAATGAATCACTGTAGCCACTGAGGAAGAAAACACCACGGCAGTAATTCATTAAACAAATGCAAAAAAATAATAACAGTTGCTGAAAGACTGCTGATATATCTACATGCAGGATACTGTATCTGCCAGCCAATGAGTCAGGCAAATGTGCAAAAATCCTCAGGGGTATATTACTTTGGATTACCTCTAAGTCATCATTATTCAAGGAGCTCAGATGAATCAGTCGCTTTAGTTTTCCATGAATGTCTTCAGACGGACCAAAATCCAGCATGACAATAATCCTAAGAATAATACACATGTCCCGCATGAGTAGGAAACTGGGTTTGGCACTCAGGTATACACAAGATGAGAAATGAGGGATGTAGTAAGCTGAAGAATAAATGGAGAGCTTGGGAAATCCTGCCTGTATACACTTTAACACACCTGGCCAGTTACTGCAGAAAGTGTGTACCAACATGTTTCCTGTCAGATGGCACTGACATGAAATGCATACATGGAGGAGTGTGCACCACATGTGTAT